TGCTTTTAACCAGTTGACATCCGCGGTGTTAAACCCCCTTCCCATCCAGGCCATTTTTCAGTATTCAGCGCTGCGGTACTTTAACTGACATTTATTCCGTCATGCAGAATGTCATGTCTTCCTTATATTGTAATATAATAATAATAATAATAATAATAATAAACAGGTTTTGTATAATTTCCTGTGTGTGGTTACTTGTGGTGTTTATGCAAAAATACCCTTAACCCCTTCCATGCCCCCCAATGCAATCAGTTGTGGACCCCCCACCAGCACCCTGCAAGTTTGTACTTACCTGCACCTCCTACTGAAGCCTCCTTTGCTGTCTGTGGCCTGGCCAACATCATTTAGTGCTGTAGTGATCATGGCTGCCTCTCACAGTATTGAAAGGACCATACCTGAACTACAGGAGCAGCATCTTATTCAAGTCTATGAGAGGTTACTGTACAGGTATGAGCAGCCTAGAGCTAGATTTTTAACAGCTGGGCTGAGGACAAATTATGTGGCTGCCATCGAAAGGTAAGTACAGAATCGCGAGAGGAGGGGGCATTTTATTCTCTGTTGGAAATACAACAGCATATACTGATTGTATTGTTGTAATGTCTCTTTTGAGCTGTATATGGCACTGTAGTGCAATGTTAGTTTCTATGTGCATGCTTATCTATTATACACAGGAAGTCGTTTTTTCTCTGCTTCCTTAACAATGCCATATTCATACATGTTCTGCTAAGCAAGTTAAACTTAATTCAGCATTCCTCAAGATCTCAGTGCTAACCAAAAATTAAGCGCACATGAACTTTAATGAGTCTTAGTCCATAGCGTTCAATATTGAGTTGGCGCACCTTTTGCAGCTATAACAGCTTCAACTCTTCTGGGAAGGCGTCCAGAAGGTTTAGGAGTGTGTCTATGGGAATGTTTTACCATTCTTCCAGAAGCGCATTTGTGAGGTCAGGTACTGATGTTAAACGAGAAGTCCTGGCTCGGAGTCTCCGCTCTAATTCATCCCAAAGGTGTTGTATCGGGTTGAGGTCAGGACTCTGTGCAGGCCAGTCAAGTTCCTTCACCCCAAACTGGCTCATCCATGTCCTTATGGACCTGGCTTTGTGCACTGGTGCGCAGTCATGTTGGAACAGGAAGGGGCCATCCCCAAACTGTTCCCACAAAGGTGAGAGCATGAAAGTGTCCAAAATGTCTTGGTATGCTGATGCCTTAAGAGTTCCCTTCACTGGAACTAAGGGGCCAAGCCCTGAAAAACAACCCCACACCATAATCCCCCCTCCATCAAACTTTACACTTGGCACAATGCAGTCAGGCAAGAACCGTTCTCCTGGCAACCACCAAACCCAGATACGTCCATCAGATTGCCAGACAGAGAAGCGTGATTCCTCACTCTAGAGAACAGGCCTCCAGTTCTCTAGAGTCCAGTGGGGCATGCTTTACACAACTGCATCCAACGCTTTGCATTGCACTTGGTGATGTAAGGCTTGGATGCAACTGCCCGGCCATGGAAACCCATTCCACGAAGCTCTCTACGCACAAGTTGTGCCAATCTGAAGGCCACATGAAGTTTGAAGGTATGTAGCTATTGACTCTACAGACAGTTGGTTGACTTCTGAGCTGACCCCCCTGTGTCATTTTACGTGGCCTGCCACTTTGTGGCTGAGTTGCTGTTGTTCCCAGTTGCTTCCACTTTGTTATAATACCACTAACAGGTGACCGTGGAATATTTAATAGCAAGGAAATTTCAAGGATGGACTTATTGCACAGGTGGCAACCTATCGCGGTACCACGCTTGAATTCACTGAGCTCTTGAGAGCGACCCATTATTTCACAAGTGTTTGTAGAAGCCTCTGCATGCCTAAGTGCTTGATTTTATACAC